AAACATGACAGGATCATACTGTTGAAATTCCCTTTTAAATTGAGAAAAAGAGGAAAACGTCTCTCCTCTCATTTCAAGGGCTTAAATTATGAGTCGGTGGCTAAATGATGATTTTGTGAGCAAGAGGACAAATGGCCGAATGTGTTGATGTGATTTTCATGTCTGGGATCCAAGAAATGTTGGGAACCACAGCGATCTAAAAAGGTCAGGGAAGTTACTGGGAAGTTTACCATTACCCCAGATGGAGAGTTATCTGGACGACCTGCCGCTTTGAAGCTCACAGTGTAAAAACCTTTCCTCCGTTTGTCTTGAAAACTCAATGTGTGAGAGAGGACAAGTTTTTCTACATTTTGAGGGTAATACCACTAATAAAAAAGATTTGGATAACAATAGTGTGAATGCTGTAAACAGCATTCCCACCAAATAAAACATTTCATATACAATTCATGTCTCAATGACTGTGTTTACATTACTTTTTCTAATTTCACATATTTTACTGAATGCATAAATAGTTTGGTCTGTACATTAAAGATATACAAGAGATGGACGGATTTGACAAATTAAACTACTCAAAGACGAAACATAACTTAAATTGCTACATAAAAATGTTTCATAGAATATGTATCAATTCTACAACATCAGAGACTCAAGTTCTTGTTGAAATCGTTGCACAGTGTGTTTTTAGAACTTAGAGAGGCATATTATTATGGCAAGCAGATCTGAGACAAGCATGATTGGCAATTCAGTGTGCAAGTATTTAGAGAGACTGGCTCAGTGAGGTTACGTAACACAGTATCTTGTTTTGATTGTTTTTTTAGGAGGCAGGCTACTGCAAAAAGCTCTTCGATACTGCCAGCTATGGTAAGAGGGATAACATTGCCAAACAATAAGGCCAAGCGACAGGTACACCAAGAACAGGAACAGTTCATTGATTCATCAATCATTGGAAGACATCTGCTGTGGTGGGACGGTGGGTAGTAACGATAATCATCGCCTGATCATCATGAATGTATGTATGTGTTTTTAATAAGTTTGAATTAGATAGAAGTGTTCTCTTCCGGCTGACCCGCTACTGGTACTTTATTGGTCTTGACAGAGACATTTTCTGACTTACAGTATGAGCTGATTACAAGTCTGCATAGTAGCCGATAGCAAGGTTAAGTTAACTAGGTTAGCCGATTACAAACCAAGTTTAGCTAGCTATCCTGTCTGTTCATCCATACTCGTCTGCTGTAACCATTTTCTCCGACACCTGTTTTCCTGATGGTCACATGATGTTCGACTTAAAGCCTATATGGCTCTGTGTGGTTGAGTGTGGTTCTGGAGTTTACTGTTGGTCTTGATAAATGACTATCCACCACAGATTAATACTTTGTCTTTTTGTCTTTTTGAGCACTTCTACACTGCAGGTCACACCTACCCATTCACACACTGGTGACAAATTAAGTGTCTTGCCCAAGGACACATCGAACATGTGGCTGCAGGAGCTGGGGATCGAACACCTGACCTTCCGGTTGAGAGACGACCGACTCTATCTCATGATGTGAGGGCAATGCAGCAGCTGATGGCTGAACATTATTTGGACACTGTGACGATCAAGATGATGTATCAATGTTTCTAACATTTCAGTGATAGAAAGCTGGCTACATATAAAAGTAGATACTAAAGCCTATGTTGTAACCACTGAGTCCCATGCAGAAAGGTTGGGGATGGCTGGATATGCACACCCAATATACACAACCAATCCAGTCAATTGTAAATAGCAACGTTTGAAAAATCTGAAAAATCTGAGAACTAAATGTGATTTGCAAAAGTCTCAACAAGGACTTAAGCTCTGAAAAGGGAACTTTGTGTGTTCTGTTTTTTCCACATTTTTGATGTATCACATCCTCACATGAAATCTCTCTTTCCTTCACCTTCCTCCTCTTCTTACCTGTGTCTCTTCTTCCTCATTATCCTGTAGATGCCTGGGTGTATCATAGCAAGAAAACATGCTTATCAAGGGATTTAATTCATGGATCAGCTTTTCGGCAACCGACATAGATCATCAAATCATTTAACAGTGAGATGATGACAGATGCAAGTCGTTTGACCTTTTTTCATTCAATGGAAACAGTGGCCAAGTAAATCCCTGGAATGTTCTAGTAGTGTTCCTGGTAATCCATCTCTATCATATGCTATGAAAAGAAAACATAGATACATCATGTTAAACTGGTTGCCTTTGTTTATCCAACAACGAAGCGCAACAAAGAACATTTTCTTGTTCATCAATGACACCAGAAGCACCCACAATTCACAACTCAGGTGAAACCTTTTGAAAATCCAATCAGGTGACTAAAGTAAAATCTTTCCAAAGAACACCTAGCTTTAAAAAATACCTCACCAGTTCTCCAATAAATCCTATTTTGTTAAGATGTATCTCTTTGGAGGATAATAATAATAATAATGATAATGATGCATTTTATTTATGGGCACCTTTCACTTCACTCAAGGTCACCTTACGGACACAGCAGTAAAACAGTGAGAGAAAACAAGAACACAATCAACTACATGAAAACAGAAAGAAAAAAAAACGCAATAGTGAGAAGGGCATGGTCAGACAGAATAAGCCAAGTATGTAACATTTGTGGTTCTTGACATACAGCAGTGTTGGCTATGTCATTGCTCAAAAAGCCACAAAAGAACTCAGACAAGCTCCCTGAAAAATGTTACACTGAAATGCTGTTCATGTGTATATTTCTGTGGCTCCTCCTTTAGATAAATGACTAAAAGCATTGCTCATCTGTTTGTTTTAGATGACAGCTGCATTATTGTTATCTTTTATGTTGGGGTGTGTTCTACGACTCGCACATTTTTCTCTTTTAACCAAGCAGAAACCTTCAGTGTTGAAAAGAGAAGTCAAAGTGGAAGTGTTAAAGTTCTGCAGTTCATTGAGGGTCCGCTGGCTCCAAGGACCTAGAAGTCACATACACACCACATTCAAAACAGCCTGTTTTTACTGAAGAAATTACTCTTTATTACTAACATGTTTACAGCCTGGGAAAAAACAAAACAAATAGGGCTGATTAGTTATTGTCATCATGGGCACACACTGTACGTTAGGTTGTTTTGCCACAGTCATTGCTCTTGTCTTGTCTACAAATCGTAAAGACATTTTCCTTCCATAATCTGACAACGACATGTACCAGCAGAATGGCCCTGCAGGTGTCCATAAGTCAGTATTTAAATATCTATGTTCTAATCTTTCTTTATTTGCATGTATTTATGCACTGGTTTGACTTGGGCGTGTCTGTGGAGAAAGATGACATTTTTGTTGTCATTTGTTTATTTAAATGGCCTGGGCTGTTTTAGCAGGTGCGTGAGAAGGGATGGGAACAAATCACAGCTCACAGAGTGTAAGTTTTCAACCCTTTTCATTTTAGAATGTGTTGCTGTTGTAATGGTCAGTGAGATTTTTTTTTTCTATGTAAATTATTTTACATAGCAATGATGGTTGCTAATGCGACTAAGGAGTCACATATAACAAAGAATGCTCTCATTTGTCAGTAAATACTGGTTGCTCTTGTTGAACTAGGCAGATGAATGTCAATGTCAGATCGCCACTGTTGAGGAACAGCTGCCACTTATTAACAACCGAGCTTGAGAGAGAGAGACATCTAGCCCTGTGCTCTGTGGAAAGGTGAGAAACTTTTGTGTTTCTTTCTGTGGTGATGATCTAAATTATTTTAAATATGTTGAATATTGAAAGACATAGATTGTTTTTGCAAATCTTTTATTTTTTTTTGCAATTTACAGCTGCTATGTGCCTTAATTAAAAAAAATGTTCTCATGTATCAATAAATATAATAATATTCACCTCTTAAAGACATGGAATAAACAATCATTCATGTATTGTGAAGAAGAGCCAGTTACTACTCAGTTCTGAACCCTCTTCACATTACAAGCGCAAATGTACAAGATGGTTAATAATCTACTGCTTAACATAACACCAGAGCTTTTGGAGTTTAAAGGCCTCTAGATAGAGCATCACACTTTACAATTAGTGTATTGGCAAATTAACTCAAACAAAAATCCTCTTGCCACTTCTTGCAGGACTAGAAGTTTCTGACTTGTAGGCTGTACTTTTAAAGACACATTTTTAAGTAATCCAAAGATGAAAGGGGCAGATTTAAAGTGACAAAAAAAAAAACATGATTTATTCCTCAAAAAAAAAGAATTGCCGGTTACAAAATAAGGTCTTATAAATATCACACGTTTACTAAAATAAAACCTCTTGGATTCGACCAAAAACTAAAACCGTGACGGTCAGAAAACTGTTGCTCCTCGTCCTGCTCGTCTGAGTATTTATTCATCTGTACCCACATGGCAATTTACGCCAATTAGCTGCGCTTTACGACAGCAGGAACACTTTGCAGCAGCAGCAGGACACATAAACTGAGCACTTATAACCACACAGACCTACTATAAACACACAATGTTTCAATACTTGATAAATATAAAAATTTAAATTCATTCTAAAGCAAAAACTCTATTAATTATAAACGTTTAAATACAAAATTATTCTAATGGGCAAAATATATTTTTATATTAACCTGTTGTCCTCTATGGCTCTAACAATTAGTTACAAAATATGTACAGCAAAGAGCATGTTTCAAACAAAGTGCACCTGTCAGAACTTAAAGTTGAGTTCATATCTTTTTATGCCGAAGTGCAACTTGAGAGTTGCAGTGCCAGATGTTTTTATTTTACAACAAACAGTAGGCTTGTGCCTTGAAAACCTTTGAAATAGAGTCAGATATTTGCAAAAAAGAAAAGTTCTTTGTCAGTTCATATCATGAATCACACAGAGAGTGCTGATCTAACCTGTAGAAGAGCTCAAACTTTGAGTCATGTAACATTGTCTATGTAAAAAAAAAGAATGTGCCATATGCTTAGTTTTTGCTGTAATTCATAATCTGGACACCAAGTGATGACATCAGTTTTCTTTCCTTCGTCCACAGATGACCACTTCCAATAAAACAATGTTGATGGCAAAGTTAGCTGCTTTTGGCCTTGTCTGCTCTCTTGTTACATTCTGTCTGTATTTTGAGCCTTCATCGAATGTTTGCGGCTCTACATCAGTTGAAGTGAAACATCATGTAGGCGTGGATCCAAACGAAAAGCCCATAGTCCTGTTGTGGTACTGGCCTCTTGGCGTGAAGTTTGATTTCAAAGATTGCCTTAAATACTATAACATTGATAGCTGTGTTCTGACTGCTGACAGATCCCTCTACAACAAAGCACAGGGAGTCATTTTCTACCATAAAAACATAGCCTGGAATCTGAATGACATGCCGCAGGGTCTTCGTCCAGCTTTTCAGAAGTGGATTTGGTTCAATGTGGAATCTCCGACAAACACAGGAAGGAAAATGGGGATGGACAACTTGTTCAACTTAACACTAAGTTATAGAAGAGATGCAGGCATCATAGTGAGGAATGAGCTCACCATCAGGGAAACTGAAAATACAGAGGATTTTGTCCTGCCCAAGAAGGACAAGCTGGTTTGTTGGATTGTCAGTAACAAGGACAAAAGAACTGGAACACTTGTGAGGGAAAACTATTTTGAAGAATTGTCCAAACACATTGATATCCGCCTTTTTGGTAGAGCTCACACCGGGCGCCAGTTGGGCTATAACGAATATTACCCAACTATTGGTAGCTGTAAGTTTTATCTCGCTTTTGAGAATTCCATCCACAGAGACTACATCACAGAGAAGGTGAATGGGCCTCTCGTGGCGGGGACCGTACCTGTAGTTTTGGGTCCTCCAAGAGCAAACTACGAGCAGTTCCTCCCCTCTGACGCCTTCATTCACGTCAATGATTTCCCCAATCCTAAAGCACTGGCAGAGTTTCTGCTCCATTTGGACAAGAATAATACAGAGTACATGCGTTACTTTGAGTGGAGAAAGTTTTACTCAGTCACTCCTCACCTCCTGTCAATCAACAACGAATTCACTCAGCCCATCTGCCTCGCCTGTGACCACATATCAAAAGACCAAAATTTCCATGTGGTTCACGACCTTTTTAGTTGGTACTCTCAAAAGAAATAGGAACATTCCTCAAAGGTCAAACAGGGATCGTTTTTTACAAAGATTGTGTATCATATTTTTGTATGTTCTGCCCATTGAAGCCTACAAACTGTATGATAGGAAGGCATAAAGCTCCAGGGAGGAACTTTGTGTTGACAAAGCGAAATGATCAGTCCTTGCTGATTTTGTCCTGACCATGCATTAATATCATGTATTAATAAAAAAAACATATTTATGTAAATTAAATGTCAAATGTGCAATTTCAATTAACATGAAGCAGGACATTTTGTTTTAAAAAGTCTGTTTGCGCATGTTAATGACAGTTCAATGAGAAAATCATCTGCGGTTATAGAGGCAACAGCTAGCTAGCAGTTAGTTTAGGTTAGCATATGGACTGGAAATTTGATCAAATCATTAAAAGTCTGGTTCATTACCTATTTTTTAAGCAAAGTTTTAAATTGTTAAAAATATTTGGCCTGCTGCAACAAACTCATTATTTTCCTTTGTGTGGTTTGATCCTTAATTATCTCCTATATGTTTGATTATTTCCGTTAATTAATTACAAGTTGGAATGAGTATCTTTGTGTGGCCTCCCTCTTTGACATTGACATTCTTGAGCCAGTTACAAAGGCTAGTTGAAGTCACAATTCACATTCAAAACAGATGTACACAGGTTTGATACAGATATAATACCATTTAGAAAAAACAAAACATTTTTTTTCTTGTGATCTTTATTTGAGTTAAGTATTGTGGCCCTTTACTGAAGTTTGACCAGAACAGCACATAACATTTTCATGAAGTTTATGAAAATGTTATGTGCTGTTCTGGTCATAACAACAAAACAAGACATGGTTTCCATATTTCTATCACTTATTCTAAAATACTTGTATTAGAAACTTTTTTGTAATCCATAGAAAACATTGTATAAAACCCTTTTCAGGACTTGCATAAGAGGTGAAAATGATAAGTTGATAGATCACGAGTTCATCAACAGTACTTCAATTAATACATTTGTCTTTTTTTAAGAAAAATGGCCATTTGCTTTTTTTATTGTTTCTATTTGCATTACATACATTTGTATTAAAATTCAATAAAATGTAGATTTGCAAGGTTTTCATCTGTTAGTTTCACGTTTTTCATTTTAGCTTTTTTCAATCATTTTCAGTTTTCCATGGAAATCATTTGCAACTTGATCAAGTCTGTCTCACACAGGGTCATCCGTTCACTTTTGGTCTGTTTGTGCATCACTTAGTTGATCCAGTAGAACTGGCTACAATCTTTTGTTTTCTGGTGTTTGCTTTGATTCAACTCTCTGTGAAAGGTTCCTTTTTGCTTTGCCAATGAACACACCCTCATGCAGGTGAAAGGTTGGCTATTGAGCTGCATAAAATGGAGGCTGATGCAAATATCTAGGTTTCAATGATTTGTTTTGGAAAGTTGTAGAAAGAGAGTCCTCACGACCTTTTCCTACTCATGTCAACACATGTAAATGAATGTACATGTTTGAAACATGGTTGAAAATTAGATTAATCTTTTAGGAATCTTATAAGTGCAAGTTGAACACATTACATTGAATTAGTTTTAAACTGTTGGGGGATTATTTTATTTCAATTTTTTTAATCCTCAAGGATTTATTTAATCCTCATATGTCAATGATTTATTATTTCTGGTGAAATTGAATTCCTTTATTATATTTTTTTGACATCAGGATTATATCTGTACTGAGTAACATAGCTGTCATTAGATAAAGAATACAACAGAACTTCACATTTCATTTCATTTCATCTCATTTCTTTTACAGGAACGATTAAAGATAACATTACAAAAGATTAATGACACAACCAACAATCAGACTAAACAACAACTCAGACCATCAGATGTGGGGGAAAACTGAAATTAACACATATCAGGTAAGTTAATGGTTACCAGTTTGTCCATTCATCAGGAGATGTTTACAGTATATGCATGCTTGAAATGTGTCATTTGTATGTATTTTGTATGTTCGCGTTAGTTAAAGACGTAAAAGCAATGTTGCAACATCAAGTGACATACCTTACCCACAGGTTTACTACAGCATATCCTGACCGTCCAGTTTGATTGGTTGGCTCTCTCGAGTAGGTGTGGCATCAGTCAAGTGGCACACATGAAGACAAGAGGAACGCCAGCAGGGTTTTATTCAAATTCACTTGTCAGATATTTTGCAGGTGAACATCTACACACTCGCCTTCCTGCCAGCTACATCTCAGCTCCAGAAGTCATGCAAGTACTTTTCTGTTCTCAATGTTACACTTGACTCCACTTTGTCTTAAAGAGACCTTTTGTAGTCAGTCTTTCATTGTGTTTGTTTTTTGTCTCTCTCTCTTTTCTCCCTATTCCTCTCTGCAGACACGCGGCTCATGGTTGTTTAACAATGAGTGTGGTTCTTGTCAAGATTTCTGTTTGTTTAAAAGAAGGTTTTTTTCTTGCCACAAGTTTACGCTCATTGGTGTACCCTCTGGCTTCAGTTTAACTTAACCTCTTAAAGGCTTTATATGCGATTTTTCACACTTAAATGTAGAAATCATTTGGAAACCCCTCGTGTATAAAGGTTGTTTAATTGAGGGACTAGAGAAAAGAAGAATAACATACTGTACTCACTGCTTAACTGTGTTTCTAGATCACGCTCATTTCAGGTCAATTTACATGCAGTGTGAAGATACCAGCATAATAAAGATCGCTAGCATTAGCATGCTAACACAACAACGCAGCTTGAGTTGTTTTCGTTTCATGCTGGTGCTCAAGGGCGACATCTGCTGGATCAAAAAAATCGCATATGAAGCCTTTAAAGAAGAAACAAATATTATTCTGTACTCTTTTCTAGCAGTTTTTTTGGAAGAGGACATTTTTGTCCTTAATGAGGCTAGTCATTTTTTTCATTGTTCTATTGATCGATTAGAAAAAATTTAAATTGCATTCCAAAATTTGTCAAGAGAGAGGCTTCTTTGAAACTCGATGGGATAACCTTTTCTAACATTTAAAATGAACCTGCTGCTGATAACAAAATAAATATGATTTTGACACAGGGTTCTTCTTTCCTTGCAGGTGTACGAAGGCCTGTGCTCCCGTTTTAAAAGTCATCCTCACAGGGAGTTTAATACTGGCTGGATTTGTAGTTCTGTTTTTAATGTACTACAAGTCACTCCCATCTCACAGATGTCCTCCTCCCCTGGCTCAACCAAAACAATGGGGAAAGCGGGTTGAATTTCATAGCACAGCAAAGCGCACTGCAACGACACAAAAGAAGAACAAGCCCGTCATGCTGCTGTGGATGTGGCCTGGAAACAAAAGGTTTGATCTGCAAGCCTGTGACACTCTTTTCGGGATTGACAGCTGCCATCTCACAGACAATAGATCCTTATACTCCAGCGCTCATGGAGTTTTGATTTTTCACAGAGGCATCAATGACGATCTCTCCAACCTCCCCACCTCAGTCAGACCGAGATTTCAGAGGTGGATCTGGTTAAACACAGATTCCCCTTCGAACACGCGCAGGATAGAAGGCATTCAAGGCCTTTTCAATCTGACTCTAAGCTACAGGAAGGATGCTGATATCCAGGTTCGTTGGCCAGTGTCTTTTAAAAAGAAGACGGATGAAGATTTTGTGCTGCCAACAAAGGAACGCTTGCTTTGTTGGATTGTCGATAGCAACGTCCTTCTCACAGAATCAAGGGAGAGCTATAACTACTACAGAGAGCTTGTAAAACACATCACGGTGGATGTGTTTTTCTCTGCAGAGTTCTCAAAAAGTGAGGACTATTTCCTGACTATCAGCAGCTGCAAATTCTACCTCTCCTTTGAGAATTCAATTCACAGAGACTACATCACCAAGGCTTTCAATGGACCTCTTGCAGCAGGTACTGTGCCAATAGTTTTGGGCCCACCACGATTGAACTATGAAGATTTTGTCCCGGGTACATCCTTCATACATGTTAATGACTTTTCTGGTCCCGCGAAACTGGCTGAGTTCCTCCTGAAGCTGGATAAAGATTATTTTTCCTATGTGAGATACTTTGATTGGCGGCAATTCTACAACACAAGGCCTCATTTTACCAAGGAGAATTATGAGTTTGTGCATGGTATTTGCCAGGCTTGTCATTATTTGAGCATTAACAAAGTGTACAGAGTTGTTCCCGATCTGTACAAGTGGTTCTTTGGGTGATGTTTTCACACATTCAGTGATTTTTGTAGCTGGTTAAAGTTGAATAAGTATCAACGGTGCATTTAATTGTCCAGAGCAGCAATGTTACTTTTGGTGGAACGCATTTAATTACTTAAGGTGAAGCATTTGGGGTTGGGAAGGGAAATATTATCATTGACCTCTGATAAAAAGACATTTCTCCAGACTTCTCATGCACAGATAACAGCCGTGCTTTCAATCTCTTTTTGATTTTGCATTTTTTAAGATAGCCTCAAAAGCAGGATTTGATTTCCCCATGACCTATGAGTAAAATAACACATTTTTCAGTGACTTTTTATTTTATTTCACCTGTATTTAATTGATATATTTATGTTTACCAGGGATGTTCCCTGGTAAGAGGAAAACTCTTTTCTGAGGTTGGAGAAGAACAGTTTTCCACTATACAGCGACACTAATGTGTGCCATAGTGATGACCTTTATAGAACTACAATTATGATGTTGTTTGATAACTTCATCATTTTTTTTGCAATATATGTTCTAATTTTTATTCACTGGTGCAAGACCGAAATGAAGACAAAATCTCTAGTTGTCTTCATGACAGATGCAATTTTTAGAACACACTACAATTAAAATGACATGGTATTTTATTGTATTGTTATTCTGGAGCTTTTGAAGATGATGTTTCTTTAGAGAGTAAGAGTTGTATTTACACTACTCTGTGTCATCATGGGCCCATCAGGAATCTAAACGTTTCATCCTGATTTCTGTTAATTTTTCAAATGTGATGTATGTTTAATCAAGTGTGAGGTTGATTATCCACCATGACATGTTCCAGCCTTTTTAAAAAAGCATGATGTAGTTGGTGTATTGGTTTGTTTTTTACTTTACATGCACAAAATTATCTTAAACAAAACAATGGTTTTCCATATTGTAAAGAAATATAATTTTTCTATGAAGTTTGGCGTTATATATGCTCACTTAGTAAGCCAATCAGGTGGACTTTCAAGACACTGCAGCTTTTAGCACTTTTGATGTTGCCCCTTTTATTTCAAAAATAACTGTTGAAGAAGGAGGGAACACCAACCTGATGGACCATGAATGTGTAAATGTGCAGTTTAAAGTTTGCTACTGAAATTTAAAGAATGAAGTCTACAATTCTATAATGATAAATAATACTGTGGGTATAGCCTGGTTGCCCCATGTTTTAGGGTATATATTCTTTCAATGCAATCCTGACAAAGCCAGTCCTCTTGTGCAAAGGCTCTGAATCCTCAGAGTTTTACCACCTAATGCAATGACAACATTGACAGGTGAGTCTTTATCCCTTTTGCACATTTTGATCAGAATTTTTATGAAATGTTTGTAAGTGGCTCCATAGCTCCCAGAAGACGATACTGTTACTTGAGAAAAGATTGCTAATGAAAGAAAAAGATTAATAATGATATATTAGTGTAGTGATAAGTTCATAATATCTGTGAATTGATTATAGGACCTATACTGTTTAACTGTTTTCCAGCAGGTGAACAGCACCTGTCACTGGAATGTTGTTAGTTTTGAATCCATTAATTCCTGTCATTACCTTTCCTTAAAGATGAGATGAGATGAGATTCAACTTTATTGTCATTACACATATACAAGTATAGACTAAAGATGCTGAACAAGCCATCTTGTCTTACCTGATGGTAAACTGGTCTCTTAACCTGGGTAGATCACCATGGTAACTCTGCACTCATAGTCTGGTTATATTTATAAGAGTGCTTCAATGCAAGCAGATCATTTATTCAGAATTATGAGGAAGTCTAAGAACACGGCATCATGTTCCTGCTTGGTCCTGCAAAGTCCGGGGAACACGGTTTTGCAGCTAAAATGCAGATAGGCTAATAAAGATCTATAGGTAGCCTATTTATCATCGATACATTGATTTGACTTCTATTCGGCCCCATACTAAGTATTTAATGAAGTGAAAGTATACAACCTTATTGCACTTCCATTTTCCATATGCTCCTATTTTAAGTAGTAGTAAAGGTTTTAATCACAATTATTTTCCTTTAGACTCTGACGTCTCATCATAACAGTCTGGATGAAGCACGCACGCAGCAGGCCAGAGCGTCTAAACGCCCCCCGAAACCTCAACAAGATAGTCTGAATTAACAGATAATGTTGATAACCATAGTGATACAGATGAACTCTAACTCTATCTCTAAGCAAGCCTTTAAAAACAACAACCTGGGTATGTTGACCTGGCTTCATAGTGCACCCCTCTTGTTTTTATTTTCTTTGTTTCCAAAAGTCTTAAAGTGTAGGCTACACACACACACACACACACACACACACACACACACACACACACGCTAACCGCTATAAGACAATATACAGAAAACGCCTCGGGCTGTTGTCACAGACTCAGACATGCTCCCAGGCACAACACAGGCAGGCCTGCACGTTTGCAGCTTCCCTGTATTTCTGAGAAAGAAGAAGAAGAATAGAAAAGGATCATCTAAAGAATTGTTGTCGTTCATGAGGAAGGACTGTAAACTTTTTATTCTCCCTACTTTCATTTTCTTGAAACTACAATACGTTATAAATGCTCCTCAAACAGCCAGGGCCAGAGTTACATGTGGACTTTTTTTAAAGCTCCGCCCTCTTTCCAAATATGGTCATGACTATTCTTCTTTGAATAAGGAGTTCTTTCTTTCTTTCATTCATTATTCCTTTTTTTCTCTCTATTTTTCCTTCTTACTTTGTTTTGTGTCTTTCCATTTTCAGTTCCTTCCTTCCTTCTCGTTGTCCGTTTTCTTTATTTTTTTATTTTTACTTTCTTCCTTACTTCTTATTTGTCTTCTTTCTCTGTTTATCTTATTTTGTCAGTTTTCTTTTCTTTCATGCTTTCTTTCTTTGCATTCTCTCTTTTTTTGTATTTCCATTTTCAGTTCTTTCCTTCCTTCCTTCCTTCCTTCCCTTTGTCAGTTTCTTTATTTCTTTCTTTCCTTGTATTCATCCATTCATTTTTTCTTTCTCTTTCTCTATTTTTCCTTCTTCCTTTGTTTTTATTCTTTCCATGTTCAGTTATTTCCTTCTTTCCTTCCTTCCTTTCCTTTGTCATTTTGTTTTGCTTTTATTCATTTCTTTCTTTCCTTTCATTCATGTAGGCTATTCATTTTCCTATTTTTCCTTTTTATTATTGTCAGTGTGTTTTTCTTTTTCTTTCTCCTGTCTTACTTTATTCTTAATTTACTCCTTTTTTCTGATTCTTTATTTCATGGCATTCGCTATTACTTCCTCTATTTTTCCTACTTTCTTCCTTGGCTTTTTATTTATTCATTCCTTTATTTGTCTTTTTCTCCCTTTTTCTTGTTTCTTATTTATTCAGTTTGGTTTGCATTTCTTTCTTTCGCTCTTTCTTGTATTTCCTTCTTCTTCTCCTTCTTCCTCTGACCTCCTCTCCTCCAGTCCATCTCCTCCCTGTTTCATCCCCCTCCCTCCTCCACCACTGTCTGTGTCACTTTATCAGCGTATCTCTAATGCCCCTTAATTCAGGGCCAAGCAGCGCTGTCACCCTTGGGTCCTCGTGTCACCGTCACATCCAGACAGACACATGTTAGAGGACACTGGGAGCTGTCCATCCTCAGAGAGAGAGAGACAGAGACTTGTAGAAAAAGGCTTATCAGGGCAACCTTGCTGGTGAATTAGTAGACCCTTGAGTGATAAGGCGAGGCAGGCCGGGCGGACACAGTGAGAGAAGAGAGAGGAGATAGGAGGGGAGGTGATGTAGTGACAGCTGCTGAAGGGGCTGCGGTCCTGTGTCACTCTAACTCTCTGTCCCTTCAGGAAACTGTTTACACTGTAGCTCTGAGCTACAAAAGAAAACTGTCCTCAAATTAGAAATAAAAAAATCTGACATTTTAAACCGAATAAGAAGAAACCTCCCTGAAGTGGTTGCGTATCCTTTTCCGTGTAGACCAGCAGCAGCAGTTACAAATACTTGTTTGACATCTTTTTTGTTTCTCTTGTTGTTTTTAAGTTAGTGTGACTCCTCATTTCCACATGCACGCTACGTTCCGTCAGCACAATGGTTTTTGTTCCGGCGTGCCCTGCATCAGTATAGGGCTGCATGGTGGTGCAGTGGTTAGCGCTGTTGTCTCACAGCGTAGAGGTTCCTGGTTCAAATCCCCATCTGACAGAAGCCTCTCTGAGTTTGCATGTTCTCTCCATGCATGCATGGCTTCTCTCTGGGTACTCTGACTTCTCCCACAGTCCAAAAAAATAAATATTGTGAATGTGAGTGTGGCTGGTTGTCTGTCTGTATATGTCAGCCCTGTGATTGACAGGTGAACAGTCCAGTGTGTAACCCTGCTGCTCACCCAATGACAGCTGGGAATGGCTCCAGCCCCTTGAGACCCTGAACGGGGAAAAAAAGCGGTATAGAAAACAAATGATTCAGCTCATCAATAGACTTTCAGTGTGAGTCTATTACTATTTTTTTAAATTTCATTTCTGGGATTTTTTGTGTCTTTATTGGAGAGATAGGACAGTGGATAGAGTCGGAGATCAGGGACAGGAGCCAGATTCAAACCCGAGCTGCCCGCCTGGAGGACAACAGCCTCCATACATGGGGCCCGCGCACTAGCCACTGTGCCACCAGCTCCCCCGTACTTTGTTCTAGAGGTGATGGATAGTGAAATAAGGAAATTAACAAATGAGTTATTTAGTTGTGTCATTAATGCACTAATGTTGAAAATCAGCAAATTAGAGTTGTCTGTGGTTGTCAGGATCTGCTACTTCCACAGTTTTTGGTAAAAAGAAATCAGCCTCTAAATGTCTTCATGTCACTTCAAATTGATCCAAGTTAATTTCTCCATCATATTTGTGCAGTTTGTCAAAACGGGAACGACACGTTATCTCATGTGTGGTAGTGAACTTATCCGCTTCCCTCCATCAAGCGGAGCAGACATGAGCTTCTATTTTCTGTGTGACATAAAATATCAAACATCAGGGCCTTCTTTTCTACTCGCCTTCTCATC